TGATTGGAAAATGGTAGACGAAGTTTCAGAAAGATCAAGAGAGAAGGAGGAATGAAAATGAGAAATTAAAGGCACAACCCAGTAAAACTTTAGGTGGAAATTCTTCCGATGGGTAGGGTAGTGATTCCGGCTAGCCGATAAAAACGCGAAGGTCTTGCAAGAACCCCTTCGATCGCCTCAATTTTTCTCGTTCGCAGCAAGCCCTCGTCTGGCGCCCTATAAGTTGTGTTTTCCTGCCTTGCACTCTCCTCTCTATTCCCAGTCTCTCATTGCTTTAGGTTACCACAAACGTGATCAAGCCGCTCATTTCTTTCTTTTCTGTCAGCTCTTTTCACAAAAATGCTTTCATTTTTGTGGGCAAAAGCCACATCAATTAAATCTTGAGATGTGCCTTTCTGGAGGGGGGGGGGGTGGGCTAGAACGTGCTGCTGCTTACTGAGACTACACTTAAATACTAACGCTTTACCATTCAATAAGGCCCTAATGCTCTCAGGGATCCATCCTGCTACTTTTCCGTTGGTTGCTGGTGCTGGTTAATACCATCATTCGAAGCACCTCAATTGTAACCCTGTTACAGCCACTCGCTCTGACTTCTTCCCTTGTGTGTTTCATGATTTCGCCTATGTGGCTAAGGTCGTGCCCAGAAAAGACACCAGAGGAAACTACGCGTGAACCCTCAACCCTCCGTATCCTTTTAATCTGCTAAAGGAAAGAATCTGACAAGTACAGGGCGACCCAGAAGAGATCAGGCACTGCTTTTCTGAAGAACTGAGGAAATGGAGAGTTAAGGAAAACGTCAAGGTGATGAAAGGCATGAAAAGAAAGATGGACAGGAGAAAAATGAACATTAACACACCTGCATGGCCTTGTGTAACTGCTTGGCATCGTAGACAGCTGGGGGCTCCATAAGGGCGAGGATTAGATCTTCAAAATCGCCACTCAATTCTGATTTGAGGTCCTGAAACGAAATTCGATGTATGGTGATAGCAACAATCTTTGAGCTTCCTTTCTCAATTATATTTTAGTGATTGAATGGTAATTTTCTGATCGTTGGCTTGGTGGCACGGGGCGGCATCCTGTAGATCCTTTGAACTCTCCGGTTGATTCCATTGCATGTGCGCCCTTATACTGTCACTCTATTAGGCCATATCAGTCATATAGCAACGTCGGAAGAAACCTTTCCCATGCACGGATGTCATAACAAAAATTCCGCCATGATCACAATTTTTCAGCGTAACTGAGAAATATGCAACCG